GGGTGGCCTGCTCCTTCCTTCCTGCTTAAGTCCTTATTGCAGTTCACATCTAGTGGGAGAGAAAGGAATCTTCATGGGGAGCCCTGGGTTCAACCCAGAGCGGAGCGGGGCCTGCCCAAAGATGAGTTTTCCTTGCCTCTGCTGGCTGTTCCCCTTCCTCTTCCATGGGCAGGGGCAAGGTCTTGCACTAGGGCACTTTGATAGGGACCGAAGTGCTGGGAGGCGGCTTTCTACATCAAAGGCAGAGCTTCCCTTTGAAATCTTGGCTGCTGCAGGAGGGCAAGCACGTGGGCTGCTGCACCTTGGAGCAAGGGCCGGGAGAACGACCCTCCCCGGCTTGAGCCAGGGAGCAGATGTGCTGGGACCGAGTGTGGAGCAGCTGGCAGTCACCGTGTGGTGCAAGCCAAGGCTTGGGACATCCCTGGGCTCTGGTGGCTCTGCCTGGGCAGGTGGCAGCAGCTGTCAGGGGAAGCGCACAACAGGGGTTTCTTGGAAAGCTTTCTCTCTGTTTGCTCTGCTGCTGGGGCAGACGCAGGCTTGGGGAGAGTCCAGCCCAGTGGAGCAGCAGGACACTGATACAGGCTTCTGTCCCCACCTGTGGCCTTCCCTTTACTCTTCATCTTCTTGCTATTAAGTAGATCCTGACACAAAGCACAGAGCTTTGTGTCACCTCTGATCACGGAGGTGATATGCAGGAATTGAGGAAAAAAATGTGGGCCAAACCTTGCTCCTTGCCCCCTCTGCCTCCTGTTCTGCATCTCCCTGCACATTTTGGGCCAAATGTTTTTTGTAGAGGGATTACACCTCCAGGGTGATGCTAATCCTCTGCAGCTGCTGTCTAGCGTGGGGCGGGTGGGGCTGGAGGCGAGGGAAATATTTATTTTGAGTTTTGCCATTGGCCACTGCCCAGGAAAAATGAGTGATGGTACTGGGGACTCGGGCCACTTCTGCACGCAGGGTGAACTGATCTTCCTGCCCTGCTGGTGCCTGTGGGAGAGGGGTGAGAGCTTTTCCCCGGCAAAACGGGACTACGCAAGCAAGATTTTAGTTGGATGAGGGAGCGGCTGTGCGCCCTCAGAGCTACTCTGGGATGTGACAGGGGAAGTCTTGGAGCTGCTAGAGGTGAGAAGATGTGCTGAAGCAGGCCTGCAGACTATCTGCTGCACTGTGACCTCATGTGTTGCCCCCGCAGCCCCAGAAATTACTTTCCTCCCCATGAGACGAAGGCTCTGGCACCACAGGGAGCAGGGCTGGTGGCCACGGGGTGGGTGTGAAGGGGAGGTGACAGGCATGAGCAGAGCACACATTGCCGGCGTATGCATACCACCCACAGCAGAGCTGCACTGGCACTGACTCCTGCCCAGGCAGCACCTTCAGTCCTGCCTGTGGCATGCACAGGCAGCAGGTTCAACCCCTCCCAGGGCCCCACAGCTCTTCTCTCCGTCCCCAGCATCATTTCCTCCGGCCTTGAGGCTGGCTGGTCACTGCTTAGTATATCCCAGCCCCAGTTCTTCCTTTGCGCCAAGTATGGCTTCCTCTCTGCTTTCCGGGTCCTCTCCTCAGCAGCACACGGCAGGATCATACTCTGGCGTGCAGAGGAAAAGGAGGAAGCGCACTTTCTCCTGTGATGGTGCCAAGCGGGCAGTGAGAGCCATCGCCAGCTCTGGTCACCCCCATCACCCCTGCTCCAGTGGCGCCTGGAGCCTCATCCTGCAGCAGCCAGCACTGCCCTGGCACGGCAGGGCCTGCAGGATGCTGAGCTCTGGGGTCTTTTCCAGGTCAGGCTTCTCCAGCCTATTTTTGGGAAGCCAGGAGCTGCCTGGTGGGGGTGGATCCTGACAGGGCTGCCTGGTGCCTGCCAGGGCCAGGCTGAGCGGGACTTGTCCCCCCCCCACCAGCCACCAAAAGCCCTGTCCCTTGTACCAGGTGCATCCCTGCTGTCCCCGGGGTCTTGGGTCTGCTGGTGACTGGAGGCGAGCTGACCCTGCTGTGGGCGTGTAGGGCAGAGCGGGAGCCTCCAGCAAAGAGCCTGGGCCCTGCCGAAATGCTGGGCTTTGTCTCCGGCAAGGTCCCTCACTGCTGTCCATGAGCATTTCCAGATGGCCCCAAGCTCCTTGGCACCAGCTCCACTGTAGCATCTGGGGAAATGTGAGAGGAGGGGTGTGTGTGGGTGGGAAGTGATGTCCCAGCTCGCCGAACCCAGCCAGCCTGGGCCTCTGCTCCCAGTGCTGCTAATTCCTCCCTGAGGAATTGCTCCCAGGCCCTGTCCCACCCTGACTCACCAAGGAGCCTCCCACCCTGCCGTGGCAGCGCTGTCCAGGGAAGAGCCTGCTGAGAGCTTCTGGTTTCTGAGTCCTTGCCCAACTCAGCTGGCCTTCCCGGTGAGGCAGGTGTCTCTCTGGCTACCAGGCTTCAGGGTGCCCACCCCTGCATCCTGCCAAGCCCTCAGCATCCCACCAGGAGAGAGGAGAAACGCAGTTGCTGTGAGAAATAAATCTGTTGTCGGAAGTGCATCTGCCATGGGAAGTGCATCTAGTGTGGGAAATGCATCTGCCGTGGGAAATGCATCTGTGCCTGCCTCGGGAGCTGCCTTTGTGGGGGTGGGGAGTGGCAAATCCCCACCAGGCTTTCCTTCTACCTCGCCTTTTGGCCAGGTTCATGCCATTTGGTAGCTCCCAGTGGTGGCTTGGCCCCAGTTCGGGGCAGGCTGGGGTGCTGGGTTGCCTGCAGCAGGGCTCCCAGTACTGCAGAGCTGTGGGAGGACCCACGCAAGTACAAATCTGGGAAAAAAAATCATCAAAAATGAATTGAAAGGTGTTAAAAGCCAAGGAATGTGACCCAGCATGGCCTGGCCGATGGAATGCAACAGCCAAATGCCACACGGAGACCTTCCCCGCCGACACCATGATTCTTCAGGCCAGGATTTTGGCTTCTTGCTTGGCTGCGGCAATGTGGCACGCCTGAGCCATGCGTGTTTCCCAGGGAATCAGCTAACAGCTGGGAATCGATGCCCAGTGTGGGCAGGGATGGAGGCCAGGGCAAGGGACAGGTGGCCCAGGCCACAGGGTCCCCCCCCAGCACCAGCAGCCCCGGCGGAAAGTGGGGCAAGAATGAGCACCAGTCCTTCCTTTTTAAAGTAATTAGTGGCTGACGAGCAGCAGGGTGGCTCAGGGTAATTTAGTGCCAGGAAGTGGCTGCAGCCGAATTGTGGGCACTGAGCCAGTGGCTCTGGGTCCTGGGGAGGGGGGGGCAAAGGCTTCATATCCAGCCATAAAGCAAGGGGGGGATGCCCTTGTGGCAGGGGGGTGGAAGTTTAACGGGG